TAATTGTTAAAATTTTATTATAAAAATTAATTTTAAAAAAATTATGCAGACAAATTTGCCTGTGTTACAATCTAAGGAATAGTTAAAATATTTAAGTTATCATATATTTTATAGTTAAAATTTTGTAGAAAGCTAATAATTAAATTCAAGATAACTATAATCGATTTATAATACTCAAAAATAAAGGCCAGAAACATATATTTACATGATAATCAAACAAGTAATTAAATACTATATATAAATAAAATAAAAAAATAACAATAATAAAAAAAAAATATCTGGTTATTAATATCAATGGTACCTTTTGAAAAGGAGTATTCAGAAAAGATTTTTGGTCATATAAATTTAACTAATGATAAATTATTATGTTTCTTGACTATATGTTCAACTTCATCATCTTGTGTTGTAGTTGATGAAGTTGCAATAATGCACTGTGGTTTTCGATCTTTTAGAGATGCTGCAATTAATTGCACACTATCAACAACTGCAACTTTTGAAAAATAGGATCCATATATATTTCCAAGTTTTTAAATCATATCCTAAGGGTAATTAAGTAATCATCCATATTTTTTTTTAATATAAAAAATATCATACATTTCATTTTGCATTAAAAATAAGCAAACTTTTGATAATCCAAACCAACTGTTACCAACAATAGTTCATCTACTACCAAATTATGATCATGCCAATCAAAGTATATAGACAGCAGTACTATCATATTCTGATGCAAACTGCTTATTTTTTTCAATTTCCTTATTTTCACAAAGCTCCAGCTGAATGATAATATTTGTAGAGCTATCAGTGATTGTTTTTCATTCTTGTCTAATTGGATGCAGTTTTCATGGTATTTTGTAACAACCTGGAATCTTATTTTTTTCACCTAAGCATGAATTCATAGATTCATCAATACATAAAGTACTTCCAGGCTTTATAGCATCAACTAAATTACTATTAAAAACATTAATAAAACTACGAACAGAATATAAAGGATCATTAAGGTTTGGAGTATTTAATTCACTTGTCATCATTAAAGTATGATATAACACTATCTGCTCAAATTATAAATGATTCATCCAACATTAAAAATTAAATAGTACTATTGGCTGTGTTTGCTCATAACTTGTTCTTTAATAAAACTGATGATCAGCAACAGGAAAAGCAAACATTAGTACCCATAAACCTAACCACCTTACATATTCATTAATATTTATATTTACCCAGTTTGAAACATCTTTTCCATGCCTATTAATGGAATTAATTACATACTGTTCAATATAATTGAATGAAAGAAATCGATGAAATGATTCATATGGTGAAGCTAAACTTATTGATGAAATATTAACTTCACATTCACAATTATATACTAGATTAATTGTATGTTGGTCAATGGTTACTGGTTACTCTCACCAGTTTATTGAGATACTAAGGTCAATTACATCAATATTCACCCTTTTTTCTTCTTCCAAACTGCTTTCACTATTATCAGAAAGTTCCTCATGCACTGATAATAACTCTGTTACTGCTGCTTCTTCTGCTTTTCTATTTAAGACAACTTGTTTCTCATATCGTAGGTTATCTGCAAGGACGTCCAAAACCACATTTTCAATTTTATCAAAACTTACTTGAAATATTCAACGCTTTTTTGTTATTAATTCCCTAATAATTGTACCATTTAAACATAAATTCTTCCAATTTTCTCCATGTGGCCGTAAATGCTGTTCTATTATATCCTTTGGTAATACCGTTGCTTTACAGCTTGCCTGCCCTCCAACAGCTAATTTTTTTGATATTCTTGGCATTGCGTATTATAGCAGTAAAAAATACTCACCATTATTACTTAAAAACTTGCATTTGAATTATTTTTTTGTTATATTTTATACTTTTTTTAGTATATATCTATGAATGCATTTACGATTTACCTTAATGACTTCATAGATACGCCAATTAAATTATTAATTCTTTTCTCTAAATATGGATAAAAAGTTAACGAATTACATTTTTGGCCAAGTTATAACTAGTTAAGGCCAGTTATATAAGCGGAAATTTCTTTGAAAGTGCTACCGACATATGATTTGCAGATCAGATCAAACTCTAATCTGCTTGCGCCTAATTGCCAAATATACACTAATTATTTTTAATTACCAAAATAAATGTTATATATTCATTTATATATCGTATAAATTTTATATAATGGCTAATGGTTCTTTTTATTTTATTTTAGTTTTAAGACTGTACTAAATTTAGTACAGCAAACGGATACCCATTAATCATTCGAGAATTTTCACATTCACATCGCTTATATATTCCATCCGCCACCTTTTTGCATGTTTTGCAATACAGGTGTGAATGATGATTGCATTCGTCACAAACCTTACACCCGTGCTTCCATCCTCTAAAGATATGCCACTTTTCGAAGTAATTTTGTTTATTTTTATGTGTAAGTGTGTTATTTCGATTTTTCATTGTTATATATTAACGGAAAAAATTTTTTTACGTGTGGTATGAAATTTGGTCTTTATAAAATGTCATTTTAATATAAAAGCGAATTTATGTAAATTTATTATACGTAGCATTCCCGATATACAGTAAAAAAATTATTAGTGTTAAAAAA